GTTTTTGGCTCCATGCAGACATCACATTTCTGGGAAGTTTTGATCAAAAAGCTTGGCCTGGCTACAATTAGAACATTGTTACAATTCACTAAATGTTCTTAAGATGTCCAAAACACAAATTCTGTGTTCATTTTACAAATAATTCATCTCAATTTCAGTCAGCAATTCCAAGGTTTTACATTATTTTCAGATTTTTCATTCTCCCTCTGAATCTTTCAAATATATTGCCAGCTCACAATAAAGCATGCCAATAAATAATGCCCAAACAACCCATTAAATATTCAATGAAGAAAATGTAAATGAGTAAAAAGGACACAGCATATTACTGACTTTTAATAGACAGTAAAATAGATTTTTTTCATTTTTTTCATTCTTGATCCTAAGAAACAAAACATACTGCAACAGCTGTCCAGAAGAAGTGTTCTGGTTATGCTGCTGCCCACACAGCGATCTATTCACATTTACTGATTTCCAAAGTCTAAACTGAAACAATCCGTCTCAGATGGCCAATGACAGCTTTGAGTGTCATATCTGTATTTAACGGAATAAAAAAACACAAACCAACTTGTCAGACACACCACTGTGTCAAGCTCAATTACCTAAATAAACACAAGTAATGGTTAATTTTACTTGCTGCTCACTTTCCTGAAATTGCTTCAGCGCTGATTTTTGCAGCCTCTTCCCTGGAGGACTACATCTGCCTGGTTTAAAGTTTCACTTCCAAACACCATGTCCAAAAGCTAAAATCTTGCTACAGAATACAACCATTTACATTTGAGGAAAAGATCCCTGGTTCTTTAGGGAAAACTGGCCTTAATCCTAAGAGGAATCTTATTTAAGCAAGTACTGACAATGGGGCAAGTAGTGCTTCCATTGCCAATGCAAATAGGCCATGACCTGCAATGATGGAAGCCCATCAATAACTTTTCCCAAGAGAACAGTCACTCTAAATGTGTCTCTCTGCACTGGCAGCCCTGAGGCGGATGCCTATGTGCTAACCAAATGGCATGACAAATCCTAACATCAACAAGGTCACACTGAAAACAGCTAAAGTAAGAGGAGTACATTGATTTTTTTTCAGGATTTCTTTTTTTTTCTTTTAAATACAGTTTTATATCTTCCACTATTTACGCCACACAAAAATGAAGCATCCTTTGTGATCTTCTACAGGAAAGAGAACTACTGGACCTACGCTGACTCATGCAAACCGAAAAGGTGCTCCTTCATCCATCTCTCTGACCTTGAACAAAGGGCTTCCCATCTGGAAATGTTTTCACCAAGTTTTCACTCCATGCTCTCTCACACACAGAAGACGGTCCAGTGATGGCAAGAACTAAACTACAGACCCCACAAACAACAGATCTTGCTACACATTTGCACATGGTTCAGCATGATAAAATCCACTGACATTCTTTATCAAGCATCCATAACAAGCTAAGCAGACTGGTCTTGTTGCTTGATGTCCTTTCAGTACAAGGTAAATGGCTCTGTTCCAACCCTTAGGTGTGTGCTAATCACTCAACTGAAGTTAAGAAAGTGTAAAAGCTTTTAAAATCCAGAATCTATTCAGCAAAACGATTCACCTCTACTCTCACACCTCAGCACCTTCCAGTGAAACTGGTAAGGCTGCACTTCAGGATAAATCATCTGCAAGAATCCTACCAGGCAGAGGCCAAGGGGGGTAGAAGTAAAATGCTGATGAAAGTCTCTAGAAGGGCAGAATTCCTGCAGGCAGATTGATGCTGATGTGCAACCCGCCGATGGCTGGGTGAAGATTTGGGAGCTAGGGCTCTGACCACCCACCTGCAGACGATAGGCTGTACTGGTCTGGTCTTATTCAGCTCTTTTCAGCTGACAGATGCCTGCACACCAGGAATACTCACTTGTGGGACCCTAAACACAGATGAATGACATTTTCTTTCGAACTTGTCATAGAGTCCTAGTGTGGCACACTGGCTGAGCAAGTCCTTGTACTGCACTCTAGCCCTTCTGCATTCTAGGCAAGCGTTCAAAGGTTGGCATTACTTTATATTGAAGGGAGGGTTTTCTAATCACAGAACAAATTAAAATAAAATAACCTACTAAATTTATGGATAAAGGTCTTCCATTTCATATTCAGCATCTGGAAAACAACTCTTTACCAAAGGTGGGTGCTTTTTTGGTGTGCTTCTGAGTTTTTTGTTTACTTGTTCATGAAGAGGCAAGTAGATTACTGTCCATTTCTGAAAACTAGCTTCTGGATTAAATCTAACTTCCAGCTGGTGCCTATCAGGAAGATGCAGGCCTCTCTGGGTCCACAGTTATTCCAGATAAGATTAATATCAAGTACTTTATTCTCCACAAAGACCCAAGCATCTGTGATTAAATAATAGTTAGTCCTAACGTTCTGTTCAAGCAGTCAGCAATGCGAGTAATGTTATGTCTCGAAACACTGCTTAGAGTAGTATTAGTTTCCTAGAGAAAAAAGTCCCAACATTAAACAATTGTTCTGATGCTCCCCTACTCCAACACTAATATGAGTGAGGCTGGGAGAGTTGCTCTGCTCTGTCCACCAGCTCCAGCATAAGTGCACATTGCACAGCACTGTTTAACTGAAATTGGTGTATTTCAGATTTTAATGGCGCACCGGTTTTACAGCTGAAAATATGGAAGCTCTTGAGTTACAAGCAGGATTATTACTGCAAACCTGATTACAGCTACAGTTGGTGTTCTTGGAAGATGAGGCTGCAAGTAACAAGAAGCTAACAATTTCATGCCAGTAAGTCAAGTTTAATTTGCTTTCCTTTCCCACTCCCTTCTGAAGCTGGCTGAAACACAAGTTCCACTGTAAATGCAGTGACTAGCAAACATGGATGCCATCACAAATACAAAGCTGCCAAGAGGAAGTCCTCCGTTGACCAATAACAGAGTTTCCAATAGCAACTGCAAGATACTCTGGGCTCCAAATTTCAGAGATTTAGGGATATATTCTAAATGAGTACTTTTTCAACAAGAGAATGTAAACTATAACATTTAGGCAAAAAGACCAGAAAAAGTCACCAGACATTTGTATTACAAATGCTACACCAAAGCTTTAGCTGGCTCTTCAATGACCCTTACTTCAACAGATAAGACTTCGCCCCCCACATCAAGCCTACTATTAAAGGCAGAATAAAAAGACTCAAATCATTGCTACACACTGATAATTGCAAAGGCCTCAGGTTTCTTTCTGTTAACTGAAACAATGCACAGCCTTTTATTTTGGAGACTGCATACTTGATAACATTTTTATGTAGCATTTGTTGCTGTCAGAGCACAAAAAGGGACAATCAAGTTCATTTGTTAACTAAGTAACCCATTCTTTGAACACATTCTTTAATGCAAGACAGCGTCAGCAACGAATGACAGAATCACTGAGTTGGACTGGAAACTGAATTCTATAAAGATCAAATTCTATCAGTTTCAGTTGTGTACCTTTGCTTGCTGAAAGTGCAGGGCATTTCACACCATTCTTTCCTCTGCAGACAAAGAAAGTCAGTTTTTTTCTCATTTAAATATAGAAACAAAACTGTGTTTCCACTGCTGCAACTCAACAGTTGCATGAAAGACTGCGCATGCATTTTTTCATAGGAGTAATTTATTCTTGAAGTAAATATAAATATACCATAAATACTTGCTAGTCCAATTTGTAAACTCTACTGTGGAAGAGTTATGCCAAAACATAAGCACAAATCAGAGTGCATGAGAAAGATCCTAAGCAGCAATCTAAATTACAAGTTTTGAAGTCGTCTACTATACAGAATTTACCAACAAACCTCTGAAACATCTTTACAGAATATCTAAGTCCTGCACTTAAATTCCTTGTTATAAATTGCCTCTGAATAAAGCATTAGATACAACACCTTGTATCTTTCCAGCACCTCAGTTGCCTCCTGCGCAATAATTCGGTGCTGCCATTTTTTTTTCAGTAGCTTGGAGTTAAAATCTCATAAACCTCAGCTGCATAATTCAAATTCCTTGTGTAAGTGACAAATATATGTGAGCTGTTCATCATGACAAATTCCACGCTGTAAAATGCTTCAATAGCATTAATCACTTCATACAAATCAGTTTGATAACTCTCAAAGTGAAGCTTTACAACACGTATCTTCTACTGCACTTCAAACTCAAAAGATCAACTTCAGTTTCTTTGTGCTACAGTGTCTACCATAACACTTCCACACAGGTTTTTATTGAATATTCCCTTTATTTTGTAAATGTATATTTACATTTAGGAAGGGAATATAATAGGAGGCTAAATACCAACTGTACTGAATAAACTCCGGTTACTGAACTGTTCCTTAGTCTAAGTGATTCCCACAGTACAGCTTCCCATCATTTTTCATTTTAGAATGCAACCAAATTATTGGAGATGTAGGTAAAATAAAAACAAGACTACTGAGGATTTAAAACTCTAGATGGCACACTCATACAGTAAAAGAGAACAAATCTGAATGGAAATGCACACAGCTTTACGTATGGGATTTACTTGGTTTTCCACCTGAAATATACTTAATCTATCTGCAAACATTAATTCACTAACCGACCCGAAAATGACCTTATAAAATTTCTACAGGTTAAAACTGGGTAATTTAATAATAATACTGCACAGTAATAGCAGTTTTGTAATTCCTAAGCACTGAAACAAGTTAATGTAGGATTCTAGACACAATTTACTCTCAGGACATAGCATTCATCCTGTCACACTATCATATTCACTGCTTATAATGTATTTCATAGATACTAAGAATGAGATCTTATGTTTCCTAAAGGCATGAATTCATGCAACCACCATTTTCAAGTTTTGAACCCACTTGGGAAGTTTTTGTTGACACTTTGTTTTTAAGCAAGAGCTCGGCTTTATTACTCCTATCCCAAGGCTACAGAATGGACATTTCAATGCACAGACTTTAACCTATATAGAGGAAGCAGTGTAAACTCAGAGATCTGATCAGTTTGGGTGCTAGGAACAATCAGGAAAATGACACTGCAATTACTTTTATTTGAATCTGTCAGGCTTACATTGCCATTATGTAACATGACTGAAGCTGTCATAAATGATAGCTGTGCCACAGAAGGAGCACAAGACAAAATTACCAGAACTGCAAAATGCGTGGATTAAGGTGCTTGGCCAGTTATCTGAGTAAACAAACAAGCTCCTAAAAGACAAACATGACACACGTTTACAGTGCACTAGATCTTTCATGCTTATGGATATAAAAATACTTGCATTCTCCAGTAAGTATAAGGCAGTAGAACAACCTTACAGTGCAGGAACACCTGGTTACCGTGGAGCTCATATGCCATAGCTTGCAGCAGTACTGTAGGTACTGTAAAATTAGAACAGACCAGCAGGCAGTCCCTGTATTCAGATGGTTTTTAAATTCATGATGTGGAACATGTGTACAACAAAGGACACACAGAAGGAGTTAAAAAAAAAAAGAAATAAAAGAAGCACACGGATTTACTGATTGGAGAACTAAGTGGACATGGAAACATTTGCCCAGAAAGCCACAGAGACAAATGTCTTTGGCCGTAAGCCAGTACAGGACACCCTCTGAAGAAATGTATACAAAAAAGTTCTCTCCATTTCTACAGTAGCAGATATCAAATAATTCATAAAATCATTAATGTTTTCCCCTAATAAAGTGTATTCATGCAAAATAATCTCTTCTCGTATGGTAAACAGTTAACAAATTATACATCTGCAGCATGCTTTAACTCTTAAATATTCAAGTAAGATAACATTTTCTAACATATGTTATTAATCTCCATATATAAATTTGTAGCTTCCATTGACAAGTTCAATACATCACTGTAATTCCTTTTAGTCATTTAACAAGTTTATTTCTACAAATTATGGCTTAAAAGCAGGTACTGTACATACAAAATCTAAAGAGACTGTTGTGCAACTCATTACATTTCTTTATGTCATCTACTTTGATAAGTTACTCATTTCAGTGGGTATTCATCACATTTCAAATAGCAGCAATAAATAGGCATTTTACTTCTCAGGATCATTTTATGTAGCCATATTAATCAATACAAAATTAATTTTTAACAGTACTGGAGTAACATAACCCAGAAGTTATTAAAGTTTGATCAAAGAATCTGAAAATTTAATATTGGACCATCTGTGCCAACTTAAGACTGAGTGATTTGCAGGGTCTCCAACATGTCTTCCACTGCCTTCAGGGAGTATTTAGTTTCTTTCTTATTACGACCTGCAAACTAAAAAAATAAAGAAATAAATATATTTTCTTCATATATAAGAAAATATTCTGTGCAAGTAAAGGTTCTAAGCATCAACTATGACAAAAAAGCCCTAAAAATTATTAACTGTATTTACTACAAAGTCAAAAGAACATCCTCTTTAATGTTACACTAAAACCTTATCACTTTTACTAGAACAAAAGTTATTATCATCCTTCCTCTAGTAAGTAGTGAAAAAATAACAGAAATCTTACTTTCAATCATTCAATCAGAATTTACGTACTGAGTACTAACAAATATTCCACTTTGAAAATTAACATTTCTCTAATGACAGAGATCTTCCTGTTGCTCTGTGAGCCTTAACATAAATTTTATTTGACTTAATTTTTGATGTCACTGAAAATAGATTAGCTTAAGTATCAGGTCTTGCTACTGTTTAAATTACAAATATGATTTATTTTCTATTTTAGTTACACCGAGACAGAGAAGGCTCTACTTATCAAAATCTACCACAGAACAATGCGATCATCCTATAATTGCATTTTATGGTTCAAAGTAACTGAAGTAATGACCTCATGTTTGATTGTAACCTACTGTTACAACAGCAATTTCAGAGAGCATCTGAAATTCTGCTTTGATCTGAAACTCTGCCTTGATAGCAAGGAAAAATACAGCTTTATAAACACTATTTTCTAATGTTATGGCTTTAGATTCTCTAAGATATGTGCAGCCAAGTTTGGGAAAGGAAGGCTAAGAAGGGGAGGAGCTGCTGATTACCCCATGCTGACTTCAAAAGGAGTATTGTAACTGTAGTGATGGCTCCCATCACTCATCAGTCACACTGAGCGCAGTGGATTTATTGACTGTGCTGGTCTTCAGTCAAACAAAACTCTCAATCATTTCTAATACACCTTCATTTAAAAAGTTTTGCATTTGAGGCTGGGGTGGTAATGAAACTATAGAAGCAGTAACTGTAACTTGCAGTTAGCAAAATAATCTATTATTTGCCTAATTGTTAACATTTAAAATTGAAAATTTATTGAGTGTTTATGTTTTTTATTTCAAATTCCACTGCTGTCTTGCATAGTTTGCCCTTGATTTATAATGTGCCCCATCTCTCCTGTAATTAACTTAATTTAGCAAACTCTTCATGACCTGTTAAGAAAGATTAAGTCATCAGACCCAGGTAAAATCACACCAGCAACAAGCTGCAGGACCTGTCAACCTGCTTTTGACCCCTAGCCTACAATTTAACACTAGGACTCTGCATCAGTACTGATCTTGAAGAAACAGCTTCAGTAAAGTAAATGAAAAGATATTTCACATGAAATAGGAAAATGAAGTTCAGTTATTGTGACAATAGTTCACAGTTAGTGGACAAACTGAAAACTCCATATTTTCACATTTCATATTTTCAGAAGATGAACCGACATTCCCTGCTTTTATTCTAGCAATATGTACCATTTTCCAGGTTGCAAAGTTTTCATAATGACCTGCAATAGTCAACTTTAAAGGAAAATCAAAGCTTTCTTTAGATGAGATAAGAAATTGAATTTAATGAATTCTCTCTTTTTCTTCAACCTAAACAAGAGCAGTCCTAAGCTGATACTTGGGGAAGTCCAAGCCTTTCATCAAAACAAGCAAATGTAAAACCAGAACACAAAATCCTCCACAGGAGAATTGTTTCTTATTCAAAGCACTTCCAAAACAAAATAAAGAAGCACAGGAGTCTGAATATACTACGGTCTAACATCACGTTTGGTAGGACATACAGAAAGCAGGCAGAGGAAAGCTTGAAAATAAGAATTGTATTTATTTTACTTCTCTTTAGAGATGCTGAAAACAAAACTGACACAATATATTAGCTTAAAAACACTACTTGTTTGTTTCAGGAGTGGCTGCCTTCATGATATTGACATGTACTTTAAATGGAACAAGTAAAATCAAACTCTGCATCATAACAAACACAAGTATACTTGGACATCTAATCACTTCAAATTTACCCTGACGAACAATTATTTTGTCTATTCTGCCATTACACAGCAATTTGACTGATTGAGCCGGAATCCATTTCTTAAAATCAAGATTTAATTTTCTGTTTCCTAAATGGTTTGTAACAAAATCACCTCTCCAACCATAAATTCCATGTGGATTGCTAACATAGAAGAATTCAGCAATGTACCAAAGCAGTATATATCTGAAAAACTACTACAAATAGGATCACATTTAAGATTTTTGTGAGCATTAATCAACCTTCCCGGCCTCTGCTGAAATGCTTTTACCAGAAGACATGTTAAACTAATTACTTAATTGAAGAGCACCAGAGGTAGCCACAGTTTGTTCCAATGTTAAAATAACAGCGGGACTCATGTTCTCAGTCACAAAATGACAGGCTTCTTCACAGGATCAGCACAAACTGCATAATCCAGAGTTTTGCAGTGATAAAGCAATGCAAAACTAAGCTTGAACTTACAACAGTTCTTCAAATAATCAGTATCTATTTTTTTTTTCTTCTCACTCAGTCACTCAAAATTAAGTGGCCTAGAGAATGACAGTGTTAGCAGCCAGCACTTCCAGATGCAAGTAGCAGCCCTAGCTACAAAACCTGACTACTTCACCTCCTAAGTTAGGCACAGATGAGAAGCAGTGGTCAGCATGCATGGTTACACATATAACATCAAAATACTAACCACATAAAGCACAGCTATTTGATGCTCTTCAGAAACCAGAAAGCAAACAACACAACCTCAAATCAAACAAAATTAACCTTAACTATTTTTATCACATTTTTTCTGTAGAAACACTGTTTTACAGTCTGGCAAAGGTAAAAATATGGTTTTCTTTTTACACACAAATATTGATTTTTAAAAAGACAATAAACTAAAGCATTCCTCGGATTTCAAACAAGAATGCACAGGAAAAGCAAAAATCAAGTGCCAAAGGAAACTACCTGTCACAAAATAAACTAAAATGAAGGGAGCAGTAAAAATATTTCAAGTAAATGGTATGAAAAACAACAACACAAAAACCGATGGTACTACAGCCAGAGCTGAATTGAAAAAAAATAAAGCAGGTTTTCAAAATTACTGTTTGTACTGCTGGTGCTTCAAGTACAAAATCCAGACTCAAAATGGGAAAAAATCTTATTGCAAGACAACTGCTTGAAAGCAATTTTAAAGTCACAAATGCATATAATTTGACTTGGCACCCATGTCAGGATTCTAAATGCATCTCATCCTCTAGACTATGACTCAAGGAAAAACTGCATTCAACAGCGTAAGAAGGTCCAACTAATAAAAGAAGTTGATGCCAAGCTCAACAGACTCTTGAGGGTCTCATTTCACTTAGCAGAGAGCTTTGGATAACGCAAGGAAAAGTGAGGAGAATTTATAGAGACAATATAAGTAACTAGCTTATAACCTGGCTAGACAATCCTCCACTACTGGAGGGAGCCTGTGAGGGCTTTCACTGGCAAATGCCACAGAGGATTCATCCTGATGTCTGAAAGCTGACAACTTCCAACCATTCAACAAACTAGGGGAGCAACACATCACAGTACTGACTCGTAGAGGAAAGTGCCACCCACCTACTACATCACCAGACACTATTTGCTGTAGCAGTTGGTGTTAAGTCCCTGCCATGAAAACTGGAGTGGCCAAGCCCTCCATAATCATGTCAGAGCAACAGTAGGGCAGGGCTGCCCTCAGTAGGGCAGGGCTGAGGTAATCCTGTCCAGCTTTGGTCACTAGAGCTTCTCATGGTACTCTGAAGATGAAGGGTGTGTCCACAGCAGTTACTCACCAAATTCTAGGCTGAAATAGATACGATTTTCTGCATAGCTAAACTCCCTCTGTAATTCCAGTTGGATATGGTGCTTGTCACTTTATGTTCCAAACAGCTAAAATGAGCAGCTAAACTATGCAATGTATCACAAAAGTATGAAGTCAAAGAACTTACGACGTGTTTTAATGTCCTAGTTGTCTTAATGTGACCCGTGCTGCTAAGCATCAATCAAATATTCGTCACATAAATTCCAAAATAACTTCACAGAAACACTGAAAGTATGCTTTCCAGTAAAAAATTAAAAGAACAACGCAAGTATTCATATTTCCTTAGAGATTGTGATGCTAACAGAAAGCCATGTGGGGGAATAAAAAAAGATTATTTCACTCCGAGTCAAGTAACTACAAACTATCATTTACACTTTTGTTATAATGAGGATATGGAGATGCATTTCTAGGTTTTAGTCTTGGTATGCCAGCAACCCACAGCCAACACTGACTTTATGCTCTCATTCTGATGTACCCTGAAGGAGGCCATTTCCCAGAAGAGCTAAGGGATGTCTACCCGAGCTTTCAACCATAAAACTTCGTCATAACACTCCCTTAAAACATATGTTTACAACTCCCCTAATCTAAGCAGGTTGTTTTATTAAGACGTAAAACATGGAATAATAGTTTTCACTTAAAATTCAGACATCTTTTAAAACTTGATTTATTCTGTCAATGGCAAATTTAGCGTGTATTCTACTCTTCAATTTTTTATTTAGTTTTCCCTCACAAATCCTGCAATACTTACGTTTTCCATCAATAATGTTCTTACTAGAACACCAGACACACTGAAGTCAAAAGAAGTCCTTCTTATTTATGGGAAATGAGATGAACGTTGTAATTTGTACACACCTTCTTGTCATGAACAGGTACGTGGTTGATTAATCAAGCATAAAAACTCATTTAAACAGTAAAACAGAGAAAGAAAGCTTATGCATTCAAGTAGAAAAAGCTTAATTATGTCCTCAGACACAACATATTTCCCACAAAACTGCTTCTAAAGAGATATATCTCACAGTAAAGTACAGTCAGAAGCCATAGGCTTAATCAGGGGAAGTGAAAACTACTTTAAAATTGTAATACGTCAGGAACATGTCAGTCACAAAAGTTGCACTTTTGGCAGTGGATTGACACAACAATATTAGGAAAACTGCACTGGTCATAAAGGAAAATCCTAATTTAATTCAGCAATAGATGAAGCTTGTCAAAAAGCCACTTGGCAGCATTAACTTTGAACAGCAGCAGTAAAATAACTATTGGATTCTGAAATATTACAGACAGAAATGAACAATTACATGCAAGTAAAGTCTCCTCATTTAAACCCAACATTTTTGCTCAGAAAAAGAGTTCTGTGAAGAACTGAACCGTTTGTTATAGATGCTAAAGCTCATAAACATAAGCTTTGATTGCTAGATCATTGAGAGTATCTGTAAGGAGTTAAATAGACATAATATGTTTGGGATGGAAGGACAGAAGAACCTATTAGCTAAAATGTGTTTTCATTCACACTTGGAGAGGGAAAAAAGTAAACAAAAGTAAATCTAAATGTTTATACATGACTTCTCAAATACCTGAAAAGACTCCTGATGACTTTAGTATGCTTTGAACGTGGCCTAAAAAGTCTACATTTTCACAGTTTTACAGATAAACTGTCCCTAAGGTAATTATTAGAAACATAGAATCACAGAATCACCAAGGTTGGAAAAGACCTACAAGACTATCCAGTTCAGCTGTCCACCTACCACCACTGTTCTCAATAAACCACAGAAGCACCAAGGTTGGAAAAAACCTCTAAGATCATCCAGTCAACCATTTGCCTATCACCAATATTTCCCATCATGTCCGTCAGTACAACAGCTAAAATTTCTTGAACACCTGCAGGGACGGTGACTTCATCACCTCCCTGGGCAGCCTGCTCCAGCACCTGACCACCCTTTGGGAAAAGTAACATTTCCTATTGTCCAACCTGAATCAAGAGGCATTTAGCAATGCCCTCACGAATCTGCTTTAACTTTTGACTAGGCTGGATGACCTTTGAGAGCCTATTTCAATTAAACTATTCTATTCTATTTAAAGTATGATTTTAATAATAATATTCCTTAAGATTAAATTGAAAGAAACCAAAATTCTAAAATTTTAATTTGATTTCTAGTGAAGAAGAAGTAGATAACCAAGTAATTTTTAGAATTAAGACATACTAAATTTTATTAAAATATTAACTCTAGAACTGAGTCTTGGAAGTCAGCATTACAGTATCCATTTAAATAAAAAAGAAATGTATAAAAATTGTAAGTAATATAAATTAATAACTGTAAAGTATCAACCTTTTATTAAGTAGGGCTTCCAGGAAAACAAACAAGTAGAATGCAAGAAACTCAAACAAGTTACAACAATTTACACCTATCATATGTAACCCACTGAACAGCAGTTGATAGAAGTGCAGGAAAGAACTACAGAAAATATTAAGAGCATCAGAAAATAATTAGATACTAACCTGGTAGGCTCTATTTATTTGATTTGCTGCCCAGCTGGCGTATTTCATATTATCTTTTTTCATTTTTGCACTTGCTTTTGGATTGGAGGCAATATGGCTTGCAGACTAGCAAAAAAAAAAAGTAGAAAAACAGTACAATTACGAAAAGTATGTGCATGAAAATAAATAAATAAAAACTACTAGCTGGCAGACAGCATCCAACTAAGAATTATCTAAACTATTTAAAATACTTTTTGTTCTAATTCACTAAACCAGACTTAAGTTTGGTTATGTACCGAGTTAAGAACAGAATTTGGACATAATCAGCTAATTTCCTAAACTAAACGTTACAAACTATTTTTTCCCATTTGATGTATCAGAGAAGATATAAAATGCTCTGTTCCTGTATCCAACTGCCATTTTTCTCTGCAACATTTGGAAAAAAGAAAGTAGTTATAATGTGCTGGTACTCTTCAGAGGTTCACCATCCTGCGGAAAAGTGTATGATTTTAATTCCCTTTCAAGAAGTTACTTTGGTGTGCTAATAATTCTGTGGAAAAATGGGCAAGAATTATAGCTTAAGAGTACTTCAGTGAAGAAAACAGACAACAAATGCATAGATCAGCTTCTTCAAGTTGCAGAAAATATCTACTCTCAATGCATTTCTAAATTGATGCAGTGCTCCAGTGATTGGTCCAAGAGTTACTCAATGTAAAATAAGCACAGAAATCAGAAAGGTCAACCCCTGTGGAGGCTACTAAGGAGGAAAGGGGTAAGAACACACACACAGGTCTCATAACTTAAAAAAAAAAATAACAAATGTACAGATGTGTATTTATCTCCAGCAAGAGCACAGAAAATAATGCAAATTTTATTGGCTGATACTATGTGAGCAGACTTGCTGTGGAAATTTTGCTGCAATCTGGTTATCCTGTCCGGTAAGTACAAAAGATCTAGCATATGCTCTGCTTGTCAGAAAGGCATTACACTACATAGATAACAAAAGAGAGTTGGTATCTGGCGATGAAATTACACTGGGGCACAAGTGAATTCATAAACATAGGGATTTACAGACATTTAAAGAGGATGAAGATGGATTAGCCTAAGTCACCTACTAGTATTGTGCAAGTGAAGCCTCTGGGAATACTGAAGCCCGAAAGGGCTTGACATAAATGAAAATTCTTACAAATAATAAAAATGACTGATAAAATATTTAAAGAATGAGCTGATCTTTGATGAAATTGATTTGAAGGATGATTTGATAGCTTAAGATAGTTAAACTTGGAAGATGGCTATATCAATCAGTGATCAAATTGTGTGAACAAAGACAAGAAGAACAAGAAGTAAAAAAAAAAAGTTTGAATTTATATAGGGAAAGCATAGGAAGCCAAGACTTTGCTTCCACAGGAAAACATTTTCAAAAGCAACTGAATATTACAGTTCAAGCTTCTTAAAAAATGCTTTGAAAATTGATTTAATGAAGTATCATTACCCCACCTCGGATTGGGAGTCAAGATACATATACTGGAATACAGAAACTAGCTTTAATATCTTTTTATCACTTTTGATCACAGGCATAATGCTGTTCATACCCTATAGTTTACACGATTAACACTGTTATTAAATACTATGTTAAACCAAAAAGAAGAAAATACAGCAAATGCCAAAGGATGACACACGTTCATTAAAGCTTACAAAACGTTAACATGAGGAAAAAAACAATCAAACTCACCATGTAAAGCCCAAACAAAGCTCTCATATTTCTGTTGTTAAGTTTCAGTGCTTGTGCAAAATATTTTCTTGATAGCTCTAGGTTTTCAAGCCCCCCTTGAGTATATTTAACCTGTAAAAACAATAGGCTCCTGAAAGTTGCACATCATCCATATTTTCAGGCATCCACTCTTGATTCAAAGATACTATGAAACTTCTTGTCAGGTTTGTTTGACATGATATTCCAGGTGAGCTCTACCAAAGGCCAAACACTGGCTTGGGAAAAACTTGAACTCTTTTCAGTGAATTAATGTAAAAATATTTAACTGTAGGGAAAACCAACATTAATTTAAATCAGCTGCTATACAAATAGATAGTGATTATTTTGCACTTTCAATACTTAGAATCTTGGGATAGTCTCTTATGAAATTACAATGGACTTTCAATCTAAATCTAAGTTCTGACAGTTATGAATCTGTACTAACTCTAAATTCCTTCAGCACAGCATTACAACAGTAGGCAACACATTGTCTTTCATTAGCTATTTACTGAAAAATAGTACACAAAGTTTAAAGATCACTCCATTATTTTTTCTATTAATTTTGACTGCTATTAGAGTCAAAACAAAAGGAGAGAACTATTAGAAGACATGCTTCATAGTTTTTCTATGACAAGGCTGTGTCGACTTTCAAGTTTTGATGCTAACTCAATTTTATCCATGCTAACAAAACAAATCAAATTAATTCCAAGTAATTAAAGCATAATTTAGGAAAAAAAAATCACACATCTGGAAAATGGTTACAACTGTCTAAAATTCTAAAGGTACGACTTCAGAGGATCCTCTCTTCACACACTGAGTGCTCTTTCAGGCAAAATTTCCTATGTGAAGGATTCCAAAATCTAGCTCCACAGTACTAGATAATATATTATAGCTTCATAGTTATGATACATAGTCTTCCAATACTGTGGAAAAGTTTAAAGTCTAATGCAGTTAATTTGAAAAGTGAATAAACACTTCAACGAGAATAGCCTATTTAAAAGGAATTTTATCTTCAGTAATTCCTGCCATGACTCTTATTTATAGTTCAGTCACACTGAGTAACAAAACAGCTTTCTTAGTGTGGAAGTTCTTTGAGAAGCTACCATTCACTGCACGCAGTCTTAAATCTCCTAGGGAAAAATTAAATACATTTTTATTCCATTTTCACTGCTTCAGTAACAAAAAAAACCCAGAATATGTATTCAAACATAACTGATTTTTCAGAAATACTCACTTCAGCATACTGCTGACAATATAAGTGGTTGTGTGGATTAGTCATCATAAGCTCCTCTAAGCAGAAGGCTGCTTTTGCATAGCTGAAGAATATAATAACAGTGACATAAAAATGAAACAGTGCACAGCTTACCTCAGTTTCTTTACAGTACAATAAAAGGAGCCCTACTTGTTTTGTAACTCCCCATGACTCACAATGTAAAGAAATGTTTTATTTTTAAGTTACATTTGAAACCACAATTTTTTTACATTAAAAACAGTTTTAATACATATGGAAAGCAGAAATATTTAGCCTTTTTTACTAATAAGTGTCATTTCTTATTAACAAATGTAATAAGTAGAAACAGGGATTATGTAACAGAAAACACAACATGAAGTAGTTCTTATTTTTTTCCTGCAAGATTTTTCAGCTACATGGTGATTCATACACCACACTATACATCAGAATGTGGTTACTGTCATCAGTCAGCTACCTACTCAGACTCAACCACAGAAGTGTGGTCAAAAACCCTTCAGAACAGTAGCAAAAGTCAGGCAGTCTAAAAATATGTATACAAAAACAGCACTACCCCAGTCCAAATAACAGCACATTATCATTGCAAAAAAAATTCTAGTATTCGTTCTTTAAATGAAAGCCCTCCAAAATAAATTACAAAGATAATCTTACATGTTTGTTTGGGTTAATAAAAATCGTAGCTTCACAATCTTTCAGCTAACAGGGTTTCCATAAGAATTTGCAGGATATTACAGATATGATAGAATTGATGCTCATAGCTTAAATGACGTGATGCTAAAATTCAGAGAGACCAAGTTTATAACTCCTGTGTTGGTAAATACAATCAGAGTAAAAGCAACTCAGCAACAAGAAGAATATTAAAACACAGTCAAATCTTATTTCTTAGAACAAGCAAACTGTGGGGTTTTCATTGTAACAGTCAGGTATATATCTCAAAAGTTAATTTGGAAATAAAAGGATAATAATCTGACTCTGCAAAAGCAGAAGCCACACTCCTTACATCAAAACAAAACATGGAAGTAAGGATTACATACATCTTGTTAATTTAGGCATGTTTATGAACAAAAGTAACACCGTGGTGAATTCACCAGTAAGGCAGAATTTCTGATACTGCTGAACAACTGATAATACCGTTGTTTTTTCTCAATTAGCAATTAGTTGCTTTTTTAGACAAGATTCATTTTCTTTTATCTACATCAAAATAATTATAATAATAAATGATGCTTATAAAGGAAACAGCACAGTCAATTTTTTCAATAAACTGGAGAAAGTTCAGCTTTTTTACTTTTGAATTACAGCCCAAGGCAAATACAAGCAAAACCAATTTCTTTCTCAAGTTTTATTACACGATTTTGTAATAAAGACTATAGCAAAAAAAAAAAAAAAAAAAGGGAAAAAAAGGGAAAAAAAAAAAGAAAAAACTGTAATGGGATACGTATGTTTGCTCCATTGCATCACACACAAAGAGATTTCACTGCTTGAATGTATTTCTAAACACATACATATACTCAATATTTAATTATTCCATAAGTCAGCATTTGAAAGAGTTTAGCAGATGCTTTCTTTACGAACGGGGACAATTTTTTCATCATTGTGAGAAAGGCTATTTCTTTCTGGAGAATCTGATTCACTACTAGAAAGGAAGGAAGGAAACAATGTGGTATAATTCAGGCTGGGCTGAAGAACTAAAGAAGTGAGGGAAAAAGATACGCCTTTGGGTGGAGGTTAGAATTAATACTGTGATATTAGAAAACTTGCACTAAGGCTTTGAGCTAATCCTCTCACACTGGGATTTCCTCCTGTCACTGCAGCAATAAAAAAAGCTAACAAAAACATTAAACATCCAATAAGCAAGTTACAACAACATCCAGCATTCTTGATTGCACTGGGTTTTGTACCCAGGCGACCAAATTCCTCCAACTTTGGATCCATGCTTTATTCATTTATTTTTTAAAGGTTACTAAAAGTTCCTGCAGAGGTAGACTAATTGAAAATAAGAGTATTACACATAGTTTGCTGTGATCAATTGTTTTTAGAGGCAAAGAATTTAAAATCTATACCCAGTAAAAAACATCACTTGAAAGAAAAGTTAGAGAAAACGTGTGCTGTGTGCTGTTTCTTGCTACACTTAAAACATTCAAAAAAAAAAAAAAAGATTTAATAAATGCCTGAAACATACAAGTAATTAATGAAATTTCTTCTGTTTTAAAATCAAATATCTTATTAATGTCCTAGCAGTCTGACAAGTCTGTTAATTATTTCCTGAGAAAGTCTGTTATATTGGAAATGAGATTCCATACTTTCTACCATCAGTTCTTCAAAACAATCACTGAGGTCTCTCACTTGCACAGAGCATATTTCAATTTAACGTTTTTATGAAGACTTTGCAAACAACTTACTCATGTTCATTGATGTAAAGTTCTGCAAGTTCATGCCAAGCTTCCTGGTCTCCAACAAATCTGTACAGAAAAGACAAGAGAGGAAAAAAGGCAGAAAGAAAAAATGTGTAGAGGGATTCTGTAAATGACCAACATGGAAGGAAAAGCGCAAATCAAATGCAAATTCCATTTTAATTAAAAAGATTTATGAGAATAGGCAAAACACAATCTGTATTCTTATGAGACACTCACTGTTCCAGATACTCATTCAGCTCTCGGATGGCCTCAAGATTTTTCCCCTGGGCTTTTCGAATGGCAATCTTACGCTTCCTTGCTGCCTATGGGTTGACATTAATAAAGGATTAGGGTCTCATAATTCCCTGGGTTTTTGTAAAGAAAGCAATTTGACTGTGCAAATTATTATCTCAATACCAGTGGAATTCCACTGCAGAACAACTGCTAGGTTGGAGTTTATAAACATACCCTATGACATCCCACTGAGGGACTGAAAACCTTTTCTTACAATCACATTATGTATGCTGTTCTTTGGAGGCACAAACTGTATGCATTATTTCATTCAAAGAAATGACTGTCCAGATTCTGATAATTAGAAAACAGCAGGAGATGCTAATCTGCAGCCATTCCAAAGGCCCCCACCTTGTCATTCACAAGGTCCAAGACTATAGAGGAGACGTGGTGACTGAGTTTCAGAGACTCCCATAGATACAATTTGGTTGCCACTGTATAAATATGGCTTTCAGCCATTTTGAAAGATTCTCATCAAAGTGCTAAATGCCATCTTTAATTGCTATTGAATATACACCAAGTGCATGAACAAGCTTCTCAACACTTTTGGAGCACAAAGTAGGCCTTTCAATGTAATCGGAATATGAAAAAGCTGTTTTGATGGCAAAGGCAAACAGTACTTCAATACGTGGGCAGAATATGTACTTCATCAGAAACAATGTAAAAACAAACAATAATTATACTGTACTGAAATTTTGAACTCCATTAGACTTCTTATGAACCACCAGGAGAAAAATATATACAGCATTTTAATAGCTAATTACTATATTCCAGCCTCCAAAATACATTGGTTACACAGTCTCCTGACCTCTAGCAGTTTTAAATCAAGGTGCACTTAAGGTGTAATTCAAACCAACAGACATCTTTCCAGTAGTCTGACAGAGGTTGGAGCAAACAGCAATATACCTCCACCAGTCTGAAAGTCATCAGATCTGGAATCTGGCAGAATAGGAGTTCCAAATTCCAGCTTAACCTGCCTCAAAGAGCACCATGGGCCAAATGCCGTGCTTGTAAGCTCTGCTCCCTGGGTGATCACAACTGCTGTCAGACACGAGAAGACAGATGGTCTGTTTTGCATGATCTATCTGCATGTACACACACACTTAGATGCCTTTTGTCCATGAGATAATTATATTCATGAAAAACTTGTACATTGTTCCTGTAATAGTCCCACTGCTTATTCCCCCCATAACTGTCAGCCCACTTCATTCCTTACAGAGAGGTTATTCAGTTGGGTATAGTCTTACAGAAGCCTTGACTGCACAGAAACAGATAGTTCTCACATCAGTTTCTTCATGATGAACCTTCCTAAGACTACACTCACATATACCCTGAAAGAGTTTGTGCATTTTTACAGTGTTTTAAATATGTCTGTTCTTTTAAGTAATTTCTTATTCTTAAATGTCATTTGACAGAATGTCATTTCTCTTGGAAGAACACTGCAGTGCATGCATCATTTATGTAAACTACTTGAAGTAACATAAGAAATCAGCATAACCAGAGATGTTTTTTAATGCTAACTGTGAATTTATTCTTTCCTTTGAGTTTGTTCACTTCCCCGGGGAAGAGCATATACTCATTGCAAATCCAGTGAAAACAATTCAAGGAAAAAGTATTTCACTCTTCAGTTTAAACACAAAGCAGAGGTAGAGAAAGAATCCCTAAAAACAAGAAGAAAAATTAGGATACAGGCAGCATGGTGGGTTTACCCACAGTCGCTTTGTTATCCACTGCGCCTCTGTCAAACTGCAACATGTGAAATGACATTCATCTTTCTACTTTTACTGGGAGACATTTGGCTAAAATCCAAAACTGACTCTGGAAGTTTTAACTGCTGACCACATTTATCGCTGCAGCAATCGCGTGCGCTGTTTATTTTATTAGAGAGCTTTTAAAAGAAAGATAACAGCGTAATTAAACTTTCTTAAAGTTTTTTTTGTTAAGTGTAACAAGAAACAGATAACATGTTTATCAGCTGCTACTATTACTAAACCAAAAAAAAACCACCACCTCAAATCCCAAAACACCAACTCGGTGACTATCCCATTTCATGAAGAGAGTTTCACGAAGCAGATCGTTACCCTCGTTACCCCTGCCGTGGGAGAAGTGCTGCAGCAGCATTAAACTGCCCGTCCAGGGCTGGGATTACCCACAGCAGGAAACCCCAAAGAAGAGGGAGTGGGATAACTGCATAGAAGGCAAAGGAGCACAGCCTGCAATAATGGCTTACAAAGACAGAAGGTTTTTTGCAGGTGACAGACCAGCTACTTTAAGATGTAACTTTTGGACTGAGAATTCAATTGCTACTTTCAAAATTTTAGGGGAAAAAAGAGCCATCAAAAGACAGATAAAAAAATAAACGGAGAACTGAAATAATCTGCTTAATATATAAAATCAATCAACGCATCTGACAGCTTCATTTGCAATGACAAATAGGAACACTCTACAAATGAGCCATCTTCCTATTTCATTTCTAACGTAAATCCTTCAATTGCATGGAAAGGAAGTCCTCCAAATGTGCCTGCAAACAGATTCTCTCCATGGCTGTTTTATTTCTTAACCACAGTACTCCCAAATAACATAAATCACTGTAACAAGAAGATGTAATTAAGGACAAGCTACAACTATTCCTCATCAAAGATTTCAGCTGATGTTTACCTATAACAAAAATGTCATGTAATATAATCAAAATCAAGGGTAAAGGGGTTAGACATAATGACCAAGTTCTGATGGTAACATTTCAGAATAAGACAAATTACACATACTTTTAATGGAGATTATTTGCTTCTAAACTGCACATAAAATTTCTTCAAAATAACACATTTTGTTTCATATTTGAAAAAAGTAGTGCTTACAACTTCCAATTTCAATCCCTTTATCAAAATTAAAACACCTTCTGGGCTTGAAATCTGCAGTCTCCTCACTCTCATGCACACCTTCAGAACAGCTGGGGTAATTCAGTTTATCTACAAAGAACTCTTCTTTGAGGAAGACGCACATTCAAACAGGTGCTAACATTCAAAGGAGAATCTGGGAACTGGAAGCACAGTGTTTTGAACTGGCTCAGAATTTTTGTAAGTATTAAAAATAGCTGAGAATTAAAACACAAGGTTGTTTGTTTTTTTTTTTCCTTTTTTTTTTTTTTTTGGTAATTTTTTTTTTTTAAGGAAATTCATATCACTTTTTAATCACAAATAAAAATGTAACAAAAATGTTCTGAACACGCAGCCAAGAGACATACATGTAAGGCAGGTGGTTCAGTAGAAGAGATCCAGATTGTTCAGATCTGTGATCCCAAGGAGTCTCAGGATTGATTGAAAAATAAAGACCTGGAAGCAAAACAGCACTGCTTTAGCTGTATTCACAGACTACTCTCCCATCACGCTTTCTAGCTCTTCTTTAAATACCATAAAACTATCAGATTATTTTTTTTTTTTAATAAAATAAAATTCAGGAGTGTCTGCTTTAAGAAAATCAAATATGAGAAGGCCTGCACTAAAATCAGATGTGGGCGATTTTGTATGCTGTAAACTTCTAATTCTTCTTCTGATTTATGCTCTAAGTCCCTGTGTGCCACAGTTTCCTCCTCAGTGAGCAGGGCCTCACGTCCAGGCAGCTCCCTGAGCATCTTGAGGAGAGTGGGGTAAGTAAAGGCACACAGCGTATCATCTTCTGTACTTCCATCAATTTAAACAAGCTGCTTTACTGTGCCGAACCACCACCAATGCTAACAGTCCCTCTGCCAGACAAAAACTGGTTACTTTTCAGAGAAAAGGTAGATTCTCACCCATACTATAGATTTACCTGGCATATTTTATACATGCAATTCATTACCTGTTTTAACATCAGTAGAACTATTTTCAACAACCTGATTTGAGATTGTTTTGAAATTTACAGAGCATAGTGAGATAGTTGTAACAATTCTGTTAAAAAAGATGGAAAAATGACATTCACATCTTCCTTCCCAGCTCTTTAAAAAAGTAAGATTTCTCAGAATCGGTCTGATGCAAAAACAAACTGAATCCATTTCCACCTTACCTAATAAAAATAACAAAAAAAAAAGACAAAATGTTCTGTGTTGCAACGAGATACACAGTGACTGCACAGAACATACGATATGGTATTCGCCCGATCCATTTTCCAGGGTTTAAAACAAAATATTGGAATGGTTATTGACTGATTCTGTAAATCCAGCATTCTTAATGGAAAGACATATGCCATCTTAAAGAAACACTTATACCGTAATCAGTATCATCTGGACTGAGGTACTTTACTACGTCACATTTATTAAACCACAAACCCTTCCAAGCTATTTCTTTTAAAGACAAATAATCCCCAATCTGGCACAAGTACTAATCTCCCATTTGTCATGATTCCTTTTAATTGGCATTAAGTAGACTCAAAGTGCAGTGAAGATTTGAACATTTATCAACTTCTGTATTTGATTAGTAAACCATGCCATAAGTTGTCTTTTTTAATGATTTAACAACTTAGAAAAGGTGCATTAGTCTAAGAGTCTGACACATTAAAATACTTTCCTTCAAATTGCAAAATGCAAATCAAAACAAAGGTGTAAACAATTACAATGGAGTTAAAGGAATTACACAGACATCAAAAAGTACCACATAATATATACATACATATAAATACAACCACAATAACAGATCTGCTGTTACCAGACATTTTTTTTTTTTTTTAAGTGAACCATGGAAGAGAGTTGCAAGTTCCATGCAACTGTGTTATGGATAGTGTCAAAGCATAAATAGCAATATTGAACACAGTTTTTTTACAGAGTTCGAGAGGTAAATCTAAGAAACAGTAGCCCATCATGTCTGCAACCAGCACACAGCAAATTGGTGGAAGCCATAAAGGCCAAAAAGCTCAGGCCTAGAATTGGAAAACAGGAAAAAAGTTATTTATTAAAGGAGAGTAAGAACAAAGTAAAGCTTCCCAGATCTACTGGAGCTCTTCAAAGTAGTCACTAATGGCTTGGATCAATATAGATCCATTTAAAAGTGAGCTCTGATTTCAA